CTGTGGTTTTGGTCAATCTGGCTATAATGTGTCTTGGAGAAGATCTTCTTGGGTTGATTCTATTTGGGGTCCTTTGTTACTTCTTGGGACTGGATCTTTGAATGCCTCTCTAAGATTGCAAGTTTTTCTTGCAGGATTTCATGGAATAGATTATCAATGCCCTTATTAGTCTCTTCACTTTCTGGGATACCAATTATCCAAATGTTTGGATGTTTGATGGTATCAAGTATTTCTTGTATATTATTCTCAGTTTTTTTGGCAATTTTCTCAGTCTTCATGGTGGATTTTTCTAGGCCAGCAATTTTCTCTTCTACACCTGAGATTCCATTTCCTGTGTGATCTAGTCTGCTTTTAATACTTTCAAGGGAGATTTTGACTTCCTGTATTAATAGTCTTCATCTCTAACAGGTCCCTTTGATTTTTTTCTAAAGTGTATCATTCCTCTTTTAGATCTTGCAAGAATTTCCTCACCCCCTGGAGTTCATTATCTCCTTTCTCCTGCTTCTTCTGCAGTTCATTGTCTCTCTTCTCTTCCTTCTCTGTTAGCTTTGCCACTATAAATATTATAAATTCTTTATCAGACATTTCCATGATTTCCATTGAACTGTCTGTGCATGAAGAGGAGTTATTCTTTTTTTCTTGGAGGAGAGTTATTTTCTTGCTTTCTCATATTTCTTGTGGTCCTGTGGTGATTTCTAGTTATCTGATGGATGGTGTGTTTTTTCCTAATTCTTGAAGTTCAATCTGAGTGTTCAGGAGCGTGCAGAAAGAGGTGATCTGGAATCTCTCTGTCATTCTGTTGTGATCCTTTTGTGCAGCAGATTCAGTAGATATTGAGGAATATGTTAACCCTAATAGTATTTTGATGTTTGGTTATAGTTCCCTTAGATCTGTCTAGAAACACAGTGAATGGAGATTGAGGAGCATGGAGATAAGATAAAAGAAAAAGCAAAGGAAGCAGAGAAAAAAAAACAACAACAAAGAAACAGAGAAAAAGGAAGGAAAAAAACTAAAAAATTATTTAAAAAAAAAAAAAGGAAAACAGAAAACCACGTGGCACGCAAGCAAAATCACTAGTTCTCAGGAGCCATGGAGAAATCTTCTTCTGAAGGCCTGCCTGGGCTCGGGGCTGAATTATCAGTAGAAAATCTTCATTTCTCTTTGTTCCCTGAAATTACTAGTGCCCACAGGTTTTCCAAGCCACTAGGATTTGAACCTCAGTTGGCCATGTAGAGTCCAGAGCTAAATCACTGCACTACGGAGCTGGCTCCTAACATAGCATTTTAAATGGGCAAGGGTCATGTCTTTATAAATGATCTCAGGTTGAATAATGGAAAGTGCATCAATTTTTGAAACAGATCTAAAATTTATTCATGGTTCTGCCATGTGATAGCTGTGTAACTTTATCAAGTTTTAATTCCTACTTTTAAAAAAGAAAAGAAAACTTTGTCCTGTTTTCTGGGTTAAGAGTGTTAAATGAAGCACTTAGCAGATAATGTAAGACATGGTTGATTGTCTTTGTTTGTGGCTTTTTTAATTTTTTTATTTTTTGAGAGATTTTTGCTATAGAATGTGTATACTCGTCAGAGAGACAGAGAGAAAGTGAGAAATCAACCCCCAAGAGGGATGGCCACACAGCAATCCCTTCTCCTTCATTCTCCTTCTCCTCTTGGGATTTTTGGGCATGCGCACACACCCACATTACCAGCATGACTTTCAAGTTGCCAGGTCTGGGACCTGAACTGCAGTCTGCTATGTGATATAACTGTCCAGGGACGTAACTATTACATCATCTCTTAGTCCCTGTGGCTTCTTTTCTTGACCCCTTCACTTAATCAGTCCATCCTTTCTGCAGACTCCAGCTATGTTTAACTTCCTTATTAGAGATGTCCAGTCTGCACCTTTAGTCTTGCTCTTTCTTGGAAATGGAAGAAGCTGATCCCCAGATGCAGGGCATGATTAGGAGGGGACCTCTCAGATAGGAGCCCAGAAGGTTGTGAGAAATGACCAAAGACAGGTGCTCAGGGGCACACGGGGCCGAGAAGCTGCTTGTAAGAGGTCAAGGAAAGGGGAGTCACCATCCTGGTGTACAGAGAGCCACTGGGTACTCACTATGTGCACCAGAAGGCAATAATCTACACAAAAAGGAAAGCTGACTCCAAATATGTGCTCTAACCTGACTTAAAGATAATTTAATGTGGGGCTGGCTGGTGGCACAGTGTAATGCATGCTCTGAGGCTGGATGCACATGGGAAGGTCTTGGGTTTGCAACCTGAGGCCTCCCTGTACATGCAATCAGCTTGTTCCCTTGTCCTTCAATTCTCTTCTGTGATATGGGAAAGTATCGACTGGACCAATCTACCACCATAATATGGGCTGACTGAGTGTGAGGAGCCTTTGGGGATGCCTGTCTGTCTCTTACTCATTCATGGAATAAATAAACTTAGAAAAAAAGGTGGGGGTGGGGGGAGCTGGTCCTGTACTGTAGTAGTTAAATGCTGTACATAGAAAGCTGGATCCCACATGGCTGATCATGGTTTGAATCCCAACCATAGTGGCTTTGGAAACATCATTTGCCTATGGGTGTGCAGGCCCAGAATCCTGATGAGATGGAGAAATGAAGAAAGATTTCATCATGAACATGCTCCACTGGAGCTACATGTGCTTTCTCCCTCTCTGGTGAGTGCATCCGCACTGTGGAAAAAAAGAAAAGAAAAAAAAATATTGGGCCAGCTCCACGTGGAATTCAGCTCCCACTGTCCTGGCTCAATAATTCACACAGTGGGAAATGTATCCCATTTATTAAAAGACCAAAGTGGGCCAACAGGTGGCATAATCATTAAGATGGTTGGATTCCACATGGCTGACTGCACAGCTCAAGTCCCAGACTCCATGTCTCGAAAAACACACCAGATACATGTGCACAGTAGGAGCTGAATCCCACACGGCTGACTATGGTTCAAATTGGGGCAGGCCCTGGTGGCTTGAAAAACATGCCAGCTATGTCTGTGTGCCCAAAATCCTGATGGGAAGGAGAAGTGGAGGAAAAAGGATTGTGGCATGAGCATGCCTCACTGAGGGTGTTCTCTGTCTCTCTAGTGAGTGCATACACCTTCTGAAAGAAAAAAGTTAAAAAAAAAAAAGGTGTAGCTATGTGAAATTTCAAACCAATAACCAATAATCATTTTGGATTGAGAAAGAAAGAAAGAAAGAAAGAAGAAAGAAAGAAAGAAAGAAAGAAAGAAAGAAAGAAAGAAAGAAAGAAAGAAAGAAAGAAAGAAAGAAAGAGAAAGAAAGAAAGAAAAAGAAAGAAAGAAAGAAAGAAAGACCTGCCCAGCTGCAGTGGTAAGGTGGTAAGACACTACCGTAAAAGACTGAGGCTGCATGGGAGACCCAGGTTTTGTTCCTGAACTAACCTAAACAGGCCAGGTGCAATGGAATGCCCTTATAATCCTGTCTACCTATGAGTAGGGCAGAGGATTACAACATAGTAAGATACCGTCAAAAAATGAAAACAGGAAGAAAAAAAACCCTCCAAACCCTATACAAACCTATCTGTTTATCCCACTCTATTCCTGGCTTTTGTCATTTAGAAAAGAAAAAAGAAAAGAAACTTGTGTTTGCAAAAGAGTTCCATACATACTGCTTTCTTTCTCTCTCTCTTTCTCTTTTAATATATTTTTACCATAGAGTGTATGTTCTTGCCAGAGACAGAAAGAGGAAAAGTGAGAAATCACACTCCCTGCCCCGCCCTTCCAAGGGGAGGGCCACGCTTGCAACCCCTTCTTCTCCATCTTCCTCTTGGACCTTGACATGCATCCTGCATGTTCTTCAAGACTTCAGGTCCAAGACTTGAACCATGGAGTTGGTCATGTAGGATCCAGTGCCTAATCACCATCTGCTGGCCCTTCCTTTCCTTTTATTTTACTTTTTAAAAAATTTTGGTATAGGGTGAATGCGCTCATTGGAGGGGGTGGGAGAGTGAGAAATACCCCCAGGAAAAACTGTCATACTACAATTCCTTCTCCTCCATTCTCTTCTCACAATTTAGGGTACTCAAAACACATGTATCTGGTGCATTTTTCATGCCATGAAGTCTGGGACTTGAACTGTGCAGTTGGCCAGCCATCTTAACCATTACACCAACTGTTGAACCACTTTGGTCTTTTAATAATGGGATATATTTCCTACTGTATGAATTATTAAGACCAGAAATCTAGGTTGACTGACAAACACGGTGATAGAGGTTAAGTCTGTGTCTTCTACTTGATGCATTCAAGAGGCCAAGCCGACTTTGGTTAAGGAATACTGTATGTAAAAAAATTTAAAGTTTATTAGACTATATTTATAATACTTAATTCTTCATTTACTCATTTAATTTCTTAGTGGTGATGGTAAAAAAAACTATGCTTTTTTAAAAAAAAAAATTAACAGTTTATTTTTTTAAGATTTATTTATTTATTTAAATTTGACCAGAGAGGGACAGAGTGAGAGAAAGTGAGAAATAGAGAGAGAAAGTGAGAAAGCAAGCCACCAGGTTCGGGACTCGAACTGCAGTCGGCCATGTGGGAGTCCAGCACTGCTAACCACTGCACTACCTGCCGGCCCCAAAACTATAAGTTATATGTCAAACAGTGCTTTGCAAATAACTAAGAATAATGGTCCCAAGCCTAAGTGGATGAAGACACCAAACATGACTATGGGGCAGCCTAAGGAAGTACAGTAAATTTAGGAGAGCCACATCTGATCTTCCACCTTATGCCATAGCTGGGATATCCCCATTTCATGTTTTTCTTCTTGCCTTTGTATAAACAACAATAAACTTCTTTATTAACTCTATTTATCACAACCCTCAACAAAAGCAATAGCAGAGATGACTTGGTACTTATTTTCAAAAGAAAACAGATAATAAGGTTGGATTCTGATTGTTTATGGAGCAAGGAGAAGGGAACATGGCTGGGAGCCTCATGGGAGAAACTGTACATTGAATCGAAGCACAGCCTGCAGAACCTGGTTTCAGAGCAATTGTGTGGCAGCAATGTCTTCTTGGGAAGCTGAAAGTCTGACCTGAGCCAGACCCTGGGACTGAGGAAACATGGAAAATATTTGTTCCAAGGCACACGGAGGCTTTCCAGAAATTCTGTGGGAATACAAGGAAAGTTATTCCAGGTACTGAAATTATGGTGAGAGACTAAGTATTAGCTTGATAAAAAATAAAAAACAAACAAACAAACAAAAAACAGATTTCAACTCAGCTTTCTTTATAAAAAGAGCAAAAGGCCATTCTTTCTCGCACTCACACAAGGACTGAGGTTGAAGGGAAGTGCAGGCCTGTGACTCTTCCCAGTAGGTTCTGGGAGTCACAATCGTACAGAAAATACTTCCAGCCTTCTGCTAGACATCCTCCCAAGAAAAACGAAGAATGTTACCTGTTCATCGAGATCCTCGTTGAACTGAAATGAAAGGAGGATAGGGAATTTATTCAGCCATAAAAACATCTTAGACAAGTAGACAAATTTTTATTTTCTTTTAAGGTTTTTGCCATAGGGTGCGTGCACTTGCTGGAGAGAGAGAGAAACAGTGAGGAGGAAAGAGAAATCACTCCCCTGGGAGGATGGCCACACTTCAGTCCCTTCTCTTCCATTTTTCTCCTGGGATTTTAGGCATGCACACTCATGAGCTGGAATGATTTTCAAACTGCCAGGCCTGGGACTCAAACCACAGTTGACCATGTGGAGGCCCAGCATCTTAACCACCATGCCATGCCACCTATGGCCCCATTGAGAACTTTTCCTATCCCATCTTTCATTGCCCATCCCCAAGTGGCCCCCCCACATGTACCTGAGCACCTGGAGAGCTCGTGCACCTGGCTGTGGTAAGGTCCCAGCCTGGGGATTCCTCTCCCTACAGGCCATCTTTGCTCCCTGGCTATCTGAGGTCAGTAGCCTCCAGAATTCTTTCACATTGCTTTTCTTTTCTCTGTTATTCATTAAAAAGTGAAATCGCCAGAAGCCATGTGAACTTACAAGACAGACTAAAAGGGAGAGAGGAAAGGGGAGAAAGCACTTCCTAATGGACACAGTCACACTGCAATCCCTTCTCCATTTCTCCATCCTGTCAGTGTGGGCATGCATGCACATGCACCTGGAGTGTCCTTTATGCCACCAGAGCTGGGATTCAAACTGTGGTTGGTCATGTGGGAATTTATCTCCCTTAACCAGCAGGTCACAGAGCCGGCCCTCTTTGGCATTGCTTTTCTGTTTCAGTAGCTGATCATGGAAGACGGGTGAGTCAGTCGGGGAAAGGCGGATCTGGGCACCTTGCAGGTTTTCTTACCTTTCCTGCTCCTCATGAGCATGAAGGTGCCCACCCCAAACATGATGAGCCCCAGCATGAAGCCCCCGACTCCAGTCAGTGTCTTGCTCCGGGCAGAATCAGACTGTGCCTCTGCAAAGAACAGACTCCAGTCAGCCTCACCCCACCAGTGGTACCCCTGAGGTCCTGGCTGAGATCCTGGACTCAATGTAGAATACTAGCTTGAGGAGAGGGAGCGGCTACACCTTGGATAAAAGGATGTTTAGAAAGTCCCCATTCTGGAGATTAGGACGTCACCTCAGCAAGGGGACAAACACTGATTCTGGCAGCTGTCTCTCAGAATAACTCAAAATATACTAAAAGACTGAAAATACAGAGGACTTCCCATGTGTGAAGGCAATTCAGGAGGGTGTCTGACTGCCCGGATTCTCTGACAAGGGAAGGGAAACACGAACCTCAGGACCTCCCAGGCTAGGGACAGGTGAGTCTCCATCAACCCCAGCTCAGATGACACTCAGGGTTTTGTACAAGAAAGAGATGGGGGTTGATGTGTCCCAGCATACAGTCACATAGACAAGATGAGTGGCCCTCAGAGCCAGAGAGTCCCCTGTTCTTCAGACAGCAGAATCTAGCTGGGTCGTCAGGGAGTAACTCACTCCACTCCACGGTGATAGGCCTGTCCAGGCTGGGGTGC